CCCCCCAAAAAAAAAAAGAAAAAGAAAAAGAGGAAATTAAATATCGAGCATATATTAGAATTTTAGAAACCCAACAAAAGCACTCAATTCATCATATGTCATACAATAATAACATAAAGAAACACATATCAAAATACAATTCCACATGTGGCGTTCCATACTTTAGTCTCTCTCAACCTTCTCTTGACATGAGAAAAAATCAAAGAAAGGTGGAACAACAGAAGCTTCATCATCAGTAGCACCCTCATCATACGAGCATCTAGTTGTAGAATTTGCAGCAGAAGTTGCGCCCATAGAGGACATCTCAGTCCTTAACTCTAAAACCCCCGTTGGGTTCAAGGGAAAAAGTGACAGGGTTTCACAGTGGCTGTTGCCACGACCCTCGTTGTTGTTGCTCCTGTGCATTGTGTTGTTGTACTTCTGCTGGTGGACGACATCAGATCCAGAGCCGCCGCAGTTTCTGGTCTTCTCCATCTTCTGATCAGTTGTTGCTCTCCCCTTGAAGCCGCCCGGAAGTAGTGCATCGGGATATTGAGGATGATATAACCCTAAATTACCTTGTGGTATTAAAAATGGGCCACAAACAACTGAAAAAGTATAAAATTCAACTTGGTCAATACATTATGCATTAAATATGTAAATAAATTATTTTTTTAATTAAAAAAAAGGAATAAATCCACCTTTATATATAAGTTATAGGGATCAGAAAAATTTTTTTTTTTTTAAAGAAAAAACTGCAAAACGCGTAGTTTGGAAAGCGACAGACCAAGAGTAGCAAATGAATAATTGCAATCAAGGGTGAAGAAAATTTTTTAAAAATTGCAACGAAGATTCATATTAAAAAATATGATAAAGAGAAAACTGTGAATAAAATATGCATGGACAAATCAGATTTGGCCTTGTACACGCATATCGATCTCTTTTGCATGTAGAGACATTTTGGAAAGAAAATAAAAACTATGAATAAAGTAATGTCAACACAGGGAACGAAACCCAAAAAAAGCCTGGAAAACAGAAAGTCTAAATAAGCATAGATATTTCAGTGAAAGCAATAAAATATATATATGTGCACAAGAAAAAAAGAAAAAAAAAACCACTACTAGAATTTGAAAAAATAAATAACCATTTGGGCCAGGAGGAGGATACAAAGGCTGAGTTCTGTGAAGATAACGATTGACATAGGCCATATTTTCCTGCTTCTGTTTCTGCCTCTGTCTCGCCTTATGATTCTGAAACCAGTAGAACACATTCTTTCCTTCGATGTGACCGTAGGCTTTGAGGCTAGTCGCAATTTGCTGAATCTGATCTGCACTCGGTGTCCTTATTCCTTGCTTATACAAAGTTTCCAGCATGCTTATTTGCTCCTTGGTCGGATTCCACCTTGAATTCCCCGAAGTTGCACCGTTCCTCATCACCATGTCCATGTTCTCACCCTCCATTCAGAGAGATCAAAACAGTTCTGTCTGATTTTGAATCTAGTGTGTTTTAAGTTTGATGAATTAAGCAAAATAAAAAGAGGGAGAGGAGTTTAGTGTGGGTTGCTTGCATGGTTTTTGTACTCATTTATAGAGAAAGAAGATAGAGGGTCAAAAGCGAAAGAGATGGATTGACATGCGTATTGTTTTTGGTGCTGATGAAAAACTCTGAAAACATAGCGAGTAGCGGCGGAGGATGGCATTGAGAAAACGAAGAGATTTTGCAAAGACATAATTACCCTTGTTAATTTTACAATTAATACTACCTTAATCCCACCCCATAATTCAGAAATTTCAAACAAACTGAAATTTTAAAACATTTGGATTTGTTGGTTGGGTTTTGAATTCCACCAACACTTCTCTTTTTTCCAAATTATAAACCATTAAAAAAAAACAGAAATTCCAAACAAAATACTATGTCAAATTAATGTACTACCTTAGTATCAGTCCACATTCTACATTAAAAAAAAAAAAGGATCCAATTAATTAATATTTTGAAAGTTTAAAAATTTTATTGATTCAATAATTTTTTTTAAATTTTGATTATATATATTCGGATTTATTCAACTATGTAACTAATTATGATTGTAGTTTGGTTTGTTGCTTTATGGTTCCATCTCGGGAATGAAATCAAGACTCTGTAAGAAGAAACGTAGGATAGGCCATTGAAGGAAGGGGAAAAGAGGAAAAGGGAGAAGGGAAAATGGGAAAAAGACAGCCGGTTGGGTTGTAAGGTGTAGGTAAGGGCTAGGCTTTGGGAATTGAAGTGAGAGCAGATGGGTTCATGCAGATGAAGTCGAAACGTCTAGGGTTTAGGTCACTGAGTGTCCTTAACTGGGAGGGTAGCTAGGTGCCCTTGCGTATTTGGCTAATGCCTCTCTGTACAGTGTGCTCAATCGTCTGTGACTTTTCATCACGAGAATGTTCAAGAAATCATTAATCAGACAATCACCTTATAATTTTCCATTTTTAAAAACCCAATTTTTTCTGGGTTAATTTGTAAAAGAGTAAGTTCGAATAGCTTATATTCATGTAAAAATTACATTAATTTTCAATTATTTATTTTAAAATTTTAATAATTATTGTAACAATTAAAATTTTAAAATAACATTTAATTTTTAAAATTTGTAATTAAAAAAAAAAATAGTAGTATAAGAAGCACTTCATAAATCAAAATCAAAAGTGAAGATTTTCCCAATTAAATGAAGCAGCTGGCTGAAACTTTGCATGCATGAAATAGGCGAGATTGTCAACGCGCTGTTATTGGGGCGCAGTCGCACGGTCAATTGAATAGGGAGCAGAGGAGCCGATGATAGGGCGGTGGAGTTCATGCGCACGACGGAAAAGGTGGAGAAATTGCTGTTGCTGACTCTTATACAAGTACTGCCGCCAGCTTTAAGTGACCGACTCGTGAAGCAAAGCACCACCACCTCCACCTCCGCCCTGTTCTCTGCGTTCTTTCTCCTCCTATGCGCATGGAATTCGATGCAGATTGATATTATATATATCTCTCTCTTTACCCTATAGGTGGAGACTACTCTTTAATATATATATATATATATTCCTTTACTATTTTGTGTTTGTTTGTGAAGTACAATGTCTCGTAAGAAAGTGGCCAAACATATACTCCAGATTTGTGTGGAAAAATTAATGTGGAGTGAAGAAAGAAACTTGATAGTTTATCCAATTTGTCAATATATATATATATATATATCAAAATTTAAGAATTTGTTTTATAAATTCAAGTGTTGCATTAACATTGTTGAAATTTTTAAATAATTGTTTAAAAATTAATATATATGTAACACTTGCATCAATATAACTTGATGCTATATATGTGCGCACAAGAATTAAAATCGATTAGCCATAGTTTATGTGAATGACCTATTTGTTTAGTGGCGTAATCTACGTAAAATTAACTAAGTGTATTTCATATATACATGATGAGGAGTGTAATAAACCTCTTGAAATAGGTAGACAAATATTATGCGTGTTATGGTTAGATACTACTATTAGATGCAAGGTTTAATTTGGGAAATATATAACTTTGTTAAGAATATTAATTACTTATTATTTGAAATTGGGGATTAAGCTAACATTTCAAAATAGTGGAAATTTATTGAAATAAATTGAAATGTTAAATTTAAAAAATATAAAACGACAAAATCTCATATCGAGGAGAAAAGAAAAGGTTGAATGTTTTACATATGTTAGCCCTTGATTACTACTTTTTCCATCTCAGAAAATTTGATGTTTTCTGGTTTAGAAGGGTAAAATATGTAAAAATTGAAATCATCCCCTAAATTCTTAATCTAAATATATATATACATTTATTATTTTGAAATAAAAGAAGGAATAAAAATTAAATAAGGTTAAAATGAAATATTTTAATAGATATCATTTTGGAAGAGGTGTGAAACTTGAAGAACCATACTAAAATCTAGGCAAAAATGAAAAAACATAAAATCCGAAAAATTTATTATCCCTTGCAAAAATCTCCGACAAAACAAAATGGTTAAGGATGCTATGCCCAAACTTATGTTCGACCTCCAGCCCACCTTCTTGTCCTGACATTCAATTTACTTATCACTTTTCGCCGTACGCTCAAACAGTTTGGAAAGGCAAAAGGTGCAGATCACCCCCTTAACTCACCTATTGGTGGCAAATCACCCCCTCAACCCATTTCACGTGCATACTACCCCCTCAACTCACTTTCAGTGGCAAATCACCCCCTGGCACCATTCTTCCATTAGCTTTTAATGGTCAGTTAACCCACCCTTTTTTTGCGTCTGATGTGGCATTTTTTATGCTGAGATGGACAAGCCACCTGGACAAATCATCTAGATAAAAAATGCTAACTGAAGAGTTAAGACAGAGAAAATTAGTGGCTAGTTACCAGCATCGAAGACCGAACCCATGGAAGAGACGATGGAGACCCAGATCCAAAGAAAACCATTTCCAAAAAAATCTCAAAATAAGATTCATAACAGTAAGAGCAGCAATAAAATTATTATCTTTTTCAAACCTTGCAACGCTCAACTCGGGTCGCCGGAGGAGAACCTTCAAGCGCCGTTTTCAGAGCTTCAACTGGCTTATGCCTGATTGATAACAACAACAACAACAAAAGAAGGATCAAATTTAGCTTCCGATTAGGGTTTTCGCAGAAAGTGAGATGTGATTGCGGAATGCAAAAGTAAGAAGATTACTGTTTCAGCAGGCTCTCGATCTTTCTAGATTTGTGTTCAATTCTTGCGATTATGGCCTCTGCATTATCTGCTTCAACGAACCCTTGCACCCTTGCCATTTCAAAAGCAATTAGGAGTTCTCTCCTCCCTGAAAATTTTCCCTGAAAATTCTGTTTGGGGGAGAAACTGAAAAGAAATGCCCAACCAGTGGGCTGAGCGATCTCCACTAGACATAAGCCCAGCCTGCTATAAATGGGCCGTCTTATCCCAAAACCTCTTATATGAATGACCGTCGGCGTCGGTGACGAGCATCTTCCCGATCTCAGTTAGTGAGTATTTTCTCTCCGCACGGTCAGTATCATGCAGTACCTCCGCGAACACACCATAGCTAGTGAGCATACGGAGGATGCGCTGGAGGTTCTCGGCATCCCCACCGCCGGAGGGGAGAACTTTCGCGAGGATCTGGGAGGCGGTGAGAGCAGTATTAGCCCCACCTTGCCATATTGCGTCTGGAACGTTGAGGCGGACGATGGTGTTGAGGGACATAGGAACGCTTAGCATGTTGACCAGTTCAAAAATGGCGAGTCTTGCTCTGTGCTGGGTCTCCATCGTCTCTTCCATGGGTTCGGTCTTCGATGCTGGTAACTAGCCACTAATTTTCTGTCTTAACTCTTCAGTCAGCATTTTTTATCTGGATGATTTATCCAGGTGGCTTGTCCATCTCAGCATAAAAATGCCACATCAGACGCAAAAAAGGGGTGGGTTAACGGACTGTTAAAAGCTAACGGAAGAATGGTGCCAGGGGGTGATTTGCCACTGAAAGTGAGTTGAGGGGGTAGTATGCGCGTAAAATGGGTTGAGGGGGTGATTTGCCACCAATAGGTGAGTTAAGGGGGTGATCTGCACCTTTTGCCGTTTGGAAATCTGTATCTGATGATGACCCAAACCATGATTGGACTTCATCATCGAGACACGACTTTAATGGTTCCCCTGGCCCCAGCAGAGCCTG